TCCGAGCCTTCTTGGCAAGTCTTCCAAGTCAAGTCAAGTCGGGGGTCGTTCAAGTCAAGTCTTGCACAGATTTGTCAAGTCAAGTCAAGTCTGCCGCCAGACTTGACTTGACTTGACTTGTTGACAGCGCTGGAGCAGATAGTGAGCACAACTGGCCGTCGGTACTGATGACGTTATATAGGTTAGGCTGCTACGTTCTTCATACCAGCCTGGAAAGGTAGTTTTGAATCAGACGAATGTCGGAGCCCTTTATCGCTAGTTGAAGCAGTTAGATAGTATGTGTCCCAGGAAGCGATGGATCCCTGCAGAGCTTCGAAACATGATGCTGGTTCGCACTATTATCCTCGTAACACCTGGGGACTTCACAGCAGTATGGCTGTTTTACAAGTGGGTGCTGCTGCACAGGCTAACCACGAGACCACAACCTCTTCATAGATCACAGCAGCCAACGGTTCAACAACTGAAAATTCAGTCACAGTATTAGTATTCCAGCTTCTAGACAAGGCGTTGCTATTAAACCTTCACCCGTTGCCGCCGTACATCTCAAGCCCTCAACAAGTAGGGTCTGTCAGGGTAATCAGCCCCAGCCGCCAGGGCAGCGCGTTGTAAGGCGTGCTCGCAGGGGTGCTCGGGTCCATGCCCTGGTACAAGAATCTCAGGTTGCACAGGTCGATGGTGAGCGTCTGGTCCGTCAGCGTCCGCACCACCTCTCCGTGGCTGATGCTCTTGGTCCATGGAGCCACGCCCGTCTCGAAGACGACATTGTTCGACCTTGCAAACGGGTTGGACTCGGTGTCCGCGAGTGGCTTCCATCTGCCGTCGATCTTGTTGGATGTCCACGAGCGAAAGTACCGCTGTCCATCCGATCCGATCGCCTCGATGAGCAGGAGGTACTTATCCGGGCAGGTGCCGTCGCGGATCGCGTAGACACACGCCGCTTCGTACAATGCGTACTTGTTGTCCAGGTCCTCCAGCGCGATGACGGGCTCGCTCATGTTGTTGGGGAAGTCGCCCAGTCGGGTGTGGGAACGGTAGAGGTGGCCGTTATCGTCCGACGAGAACAGGTAGCAGTTGTGCTTGTCGCAAATCACCCACATATCGACCCAGTAGCCCTGGCCAATGTTCTGCTCAATGATGGCCGGCATGCCGGCCCGGTAGAAGACCTGGGGCGCCGTCCAGCCAGCTGGGTTGCGAATATCCGCGTTGGTCGAATAGGCGGCATTGCCGTTCTGGTAGATGAGGTACCAGAGCTTCTGTGGCGCAAAGTAGAAAACTTGGGGCGCCGCTCGGTAGCCCTCCCCGATGGGGCTCTGATCGAGGTAGAAGAAGTGAGCGGAGTTGGCCTTGGAGAAGTCGGTGAAGTTGAAGTAGACGAGATTGTAGCCATCAGCCTTGGCTGTGCTGGCAAAGACGTGGTAGGTGCCATCAATTTCAACGATTGACGGGTCCTTGAGGGCGGCAATTTCGCGGCCGTCGTCCTTTGGCCCAACGAGCGGAGCGGTCGACGACCACTTGAAGCTGTGAGGCAATGATGCCTTTTGGCGAGTGACAAGGGCTGAGCTCTTGGAGGCTGGCGAAGCGCTCACAGATGCGGCGCAGGAGGCGACCGTCAAGACGGAAAGGAGGCGCATCTTGAGGGGGTCGCGATTTTCGTCTTGGAGCGGAAGGTCGTGATGTGGTGTTTCTGAGGACAGTAGAGGGCCATCTTTTATACTCATCATCCAGCCCCTTTGATTAATTACCGCTGAACAGCTGAGCTCGAACGCTGGCCGTCCTGCATCCCAGCGTAACTTTGTCACACTACTTCCATCATTCGCTAAACAGATCTTCCTCCAATCAGACTTGCTCCCATTGTTTTTTTTTCCTGGAATGTTCTTGGCCCCTGCGCAGCCTCTCTTTTGCGCTTGTGCGTACAGTAAGCCCAGCATCCTTTTCCCCTGCTCCATGACGCTCTTCTTCGTCGTATGAAGGATTGTCGAAACGGACGCCAACCTCGACGTCTAAGGCCAAGCGGACGGATTCGCTCCCTTGTCTGTTGCAACACTCCCCTACCGTGAAACTCGAGTCCGGCGTCCGTCGCGCATGTCGCCTATGTACAAGCTATATCCAGGCTGGCTTCTCCCCCACTTTTGGAAGCAAGGCCGGTCGCGCCCAGGCGCCAGAGTTGGGGTCTCAACCAGCCCATACAAAGTGTCCAATCTGAGCAAACTCAATTCAGGAGCTGAGAGGTTAGTATCCGTATTGGTCGGGGTTGGCAAGTGACTGGGCGCACGTCACGCCCGGCCCGGCTGGCCCGGTGTTCCCTAACCGCGATATGAAAGCCACCTCTTCGAACCCGTGCTAGCTGTTGGTAGAAATCGGTGACGCCGCATCCCCGGCGGGGTTGCGTCAGCTCCTGCAAGGTACATTGCTTGTCCGGGGCCGTGTAATCAGATAGGAGCCAACTATCGATAGTCTCGGGTTTGGCTCTGGGAGTCGCTGGGCCCTACCGGCCTCTCTAGCCGATGTGAGCGCGGCCTGCGTATATAAGGTACGGAGCAGGCGGACTACTAAGGCAAGTTGATTTGACTGCATTTCCGGAGAAGTGTTGACAGGGGATGTTGGCCAGCGGAGATGCAGATCTTGGATATACAGGCTAGACGGCTCCAGTGCGGGTGGAGGGTCGAGCATGTATAAACGCTCTAAACGACGGGAATTAATATATGTTTACTTGGTAGATCCTATGTATATCAACGTCATTAGTGACATTCCCCTTCAGGACTTATGTCGGATGTAAACGCTGGATAGGGTATCCGAATTGGGGAAATCTTTGACCTAGTGCTGCGAATCCTGAAGTCTATCCGCGAGCGGAGGCTGTTGATATGTCTAGGCAGTCTTTGGCCCTTTGTAACTGTCAATTCCAGAAGTGCGTGATGAACGTCGAGAACCCAGAGCAGTGTTGAATCACAACTGGTCCAGGGCTTGAAGTTTGGCGCCAACAGTCTCCGTAGGACGAAAGGCCCCTCGAGTCAGGGCGTGTGGACTGTGATGTGTCGGGATTGAGAGTATCCTTATGTGTGTCGCAGGAGACCACGTCACCGCCGTCGGCTTCTTTGCGTTTCCAGACAGCCACCGCTCTGGGTTTACGCCGCCGTCGTGACTGCGCAGCACTTCTTCCTGCCACCTGCGACGCTATGTCATGGCCGATAAGTTTGATGTGCGCGCGCAAAACCCCTGCTGCTCATGACCGAGGCCAAGATGGCGTGGAAATAAACGACACCTTCCCGGCCGCCGTTAACGGGATTTACCGGACAACGCCGCCTTCGGACTCCATGCGCGAGATGGTCTGCTGCCTCGCTGCTTCTGACATTTGGGAGCTGGACAGAGACAACGGGTGTCCAAAGTCACAACCGTTCATGGAGACTTTGGCGTGGGAGTCATGGACACCATGTAAGGTGTGCGACAGCGGACCAAGTGTGTACTGTACCGCAGGGTTGGCATCTGGTCTACTTGATTTCGAACCACGATGGGACTACCGGTCCAGTATGTAAATCCTCTTGAGTATCTGGAACCCTAAACGCACAACATGTGTCATGTTCTTGCCGACCATCACCGCCAACTACCTCCAGGACTTCATTTAGGATTGCCAGCGGCCTAAAGCTGAAAAGCACCATCATATTGTTCAATTCATCCCCGGTGACCCCATTGCCGCTCACTGCCAACGGAGTTGCATTCAAAAACCTTGCAGCCCACCACGACTTCCGACTGCATCGAGGGATAGTCCACGAGAACCTCATCGGAGCCCTTCTTTGTAGAACGGAGTGATCGCGAACCAGGCTCGGGAATCTGGGAGAGCTGGACAAATTGTATAGACCGTTCCTGCGATGCAGTGGCTTTTCGGACAAGAGGTCGGAGAATAGGGATCGATGCAGCTATTATGCTCACGGCGGGCTCAGCGACACCGAAGACCTTGATGTCCACAGTCGTCGCTTTTGCCTTGTCAGCCTCAACGGAACGGAGACAAAGATGGGAGATAACGGTAATAGTAGACTCACTACTGCTAGCCGAGATATCCTTTAGGGAGATGATTCTCAGGAACGCGATAAATCCAGAACTTGTTTCCAACAGTCAGAAGACAATTGCAAATGGGCTGGACTGTAATGGAAACATACAACACGCCCATACTCATAGCAACCAGTGCACCGAGCTTCTCCCTTTTATTTATCGTCAAATTCCATATAATCTTCCATGGAAGGATGGCAAGCACAATGTCGAACACGCCGGAGTACACTATCACCATCGTTAGTAAGTCGCAACAGCGTATATCCGTGTTTCTTTTGGTCACGTACCGCTCGTGAAAGTATGGTACTGTTCGACGGTCGTCTTGGGCCAGCACGTCCCTGCCATGTCGTACAACCAGAGCTTCGGTATTGGCCAGCACTGGATCCAAAGGATCAAACCCGAGACACCAAGCACGATGTTGACAGAGACAATGATGAACCAAATCGCCCATTTCACCCACCCCGTCGATATTCGCAGCAGGGTAATGGCAAATGAAGTCTTGCTCCACGCCGCCGCGACAGTACCGCCAAGGCCCGCGCCGTACGAGAGGACGAGCACAACGGGCAGATTCTTAGGGTCCATATCCTCCCAGAACAGGCCGATGCCGTACTTAACGCCTTCGGTGAGCATAGCGGACGAGGCTAGGACGAGAACCTAATGCGAGAGATTCGAACTGATCAGCGACGGATAGCCCTATAGCTGACTTGCATGTCCGCTGGAGGGACTCGAGATCGTTACCGTACCCAGCTAGCAATCAGGAAGTAGTCGTCCCACCAGAGCAGCCGACCCCGGGACAACTTGCAATACAGCCGCAAGGCGAGGAATACCGTAGCCGCGATGGTCAACGACCATATCGCCCAGAGCATACGTCCGGCGAAGCTTACTACCTCGCGGGGTAGTAATTCGTCGCGACGTACTATGCTGCTGATATGCATGGCAGCATGAAGGGAATTGGTGCAACTGATTCAGAAAAAGGGTATCTGCAATCTATGACCGAACTGGTTTCTGTTAAGCGAGGAACGGAATGGGCCGGCAGCTGCTCGTCGACAGCGCGGCCAGAGTGGAGTAATTATGCATTCGGGACTTGAGGGTAACCAGAGATCTGGTTCAGAAGTTGAATGGAGGGCTGTTAGTTCGTATAAACCAGAGAGTGGGTAGGCACACAGACGCGAGCTCGTTCCCTCGAGCGGCATGGTCGATCAAACCGAGAATCCGGGGCCAGAGCGCCAAGCTAAGAGCTCTCGGAATTTTATGAAATCAACTAACCCAGTTCATAGCAGTCTTGCGAATTCCTCCGTCGTCTCCTCACAGGGCTGAGACACGTACCCCACTATTCGAACAAACCACCGTTCATTGGCTTGCAAGTTCTAGAGGCGTCCAAGGCACTCTCACCGGTGCGGCCGTGCGCTGGGTTAGCACATTCGAAGTCGAAATCCGCGTGGGTGAAAGCGTTATTTCGCGATGCCGTCACCAATCACCAGTAGAGATGTTTAGCCCCCCTAACGGTGGATGCTCACACTATGACGGACATATTTATGACAGTGCGTACGGATCCGTACGGCTGACAGCAGCCAGGCCAGCATCCAAACCCGAGAACTCCAGGGATATCTTAACACCCCAGACCCACCTCCGACAATCCTCCAATGAAGTAAAATTTCCCGTCAGTTGCCGTTAGTACTGTACCGAAAGCGGAAAGCACCTCGCTTGACTGTCAGAGCTCAGCCCAGGGCACGGGCTGCCGGAACATGGGTTTGTTCACGGCAAGTCCCTCATTGCTCAATGTTTGCACCAAACACAAAACCAACACGTCTTAAGCAATCCTGCCGCCCATCCTGTCGAAAGGTACCTCAAGGTAAGCAGGCGACTTGCAGAAAAGAGTAAGGAAACAGAACAAATCTGAGAAAAGAGAACAAAAGGCCCTTGATCCATCTCATTCCTTTCTTTCGTTTTGGCATCTGTTTATGCTCTTGGGATGGGTGGCGGTTGTTAATGTGGGGTTTGATGGAGAAGAGCATACGTACTATGATACCTGCTAATGCTTCGAGTTGGGTTGAAATCAAAGTTTCATAGAGACGTTCCCAGCGCACGGTTTTGGGCACTAGTAGGGCTAAAGAGAGGAACTAGTGTACATACGTAATACTCCACGCAATATCGAGGAGTGACCAGGAGGTCGTTATTTGCCACTGCCTGCCTGCCAAGCCAGCTGGACAGTGTAGAATGCTGTATCTACTGTAATCCCTCGAACGAATCGTAACAGCTGTAACGATTTTTGGGAGTGAATTGCAATGATTCGAGTGGCAACTCTACGAATGTAACTCATGGAAAAAGAAGAAGAACGCAAGATCAAAGGTGCAAGCGGCAGCATCTTCCTGTATTACGCTGAACGGATGGCTTTCCCATCGCGGAGAGAAACATTCGTTTGCACGAGTGGATTGATAATCTGTACAAATGAGACGAGGAGAGTATATATATTAGAGTACGGATGTTCCTACCAAAAGTTTTCCCACACCGCCTTTTGGCCAAGACTACATGCCCTGTAAGCCACTATGCCTAACCCGCCAAATTGGCTGACTGACATCATAGTCGTAACTAGCTAGCCCTGGGCCGGCCCAGTAACCACATCCTGACTACGGTCCTTTGCCCGGCCTTCCTTATACTCGTTGCCTCCCTCCAAGCGAATGACCTCCTGGATATGGAACGGTATCCTCTCAATCCAAGCCTGTATCCGGGGCTGGTCCAAGTCCTCCCAAGCTTCTTCCCAGACCTGCTGTGCTTCCTTTTTTGACTTGGGAGCTCCCTTCTTGGTAGTCACCCGCTTCAAGTATGGCCAACAAGGCTCGATCATATTAAGATCGGGCGCGTTGGGACACCACATAAGCCGGGCGACACAAGGAGTATCGTAGATAGCTGCTTGGGCACGATGTGCATGCGAGGGAGCCAAGTCTTTTTGGACAAGGGAATCAGGGCCACAGCTCTTCGCAAATGGGATGAGCTTTGGTATCACCACCTCCCTTTGGTAGCGATACCAATCGACAGCTGTCCCCTGTCTCCGAGTCAGCTTGCCATGTTTAGTATCCCATTTCCATTCAGGTTGCTTGCCACCACGACCTCGAAGAAGGGAGAGTTGATGATGCCTAACCTGCGGGGTAACTTTGGCCTAACTGGGGAAATCTGCCGGGCAGAACCAAAAAGGCGTGTGGGAAAACTTTTGGTAGGAGCTTCCGTATGGATGGATGGATGGATGGAATTTATTTCGCCCGGAGGCTCGAAGCCTAAAGGGCCTTGGCACGCTAACTACATTCCATTCGTTGACGCTCAATCATCAACTCGTACAAGCCCTCTACTCTCTCCCCTTTTCTCACGCCACCTGTTGCCTCTTGACTTAGTTTAGCAGATCGACTTGGAGGCTGCGTTCTCCAAGTGTTCAGCGTCCTATCTTCAGCAGCTAAAGCGGGATCTGCTGGCTGAGGCTGTGTAGTGTTAGTGGAGTTCCGCTACTGTGATTGTCCCAATCTTCGTTGTTCCTCGTCAAGATCCAATCTCCCTGTTGCCATTGCGTACTTGATCGTTGCCCGGACTGCTTTCATGTCTGGCGACCACATCTTTGGATCCGATGGTGCTTTCCCTCCCAGGTAGAATGAGAGGCTCCCTCGTCTTGCCACTGTGCATTGCAACATGTCCTCCCTCAGAGCTTCCTATCTCACGCATCGCAATAGAAAATGTTCCACGGTTTCCCTTGCTCGGCCGCAAGGACAAAGGTCTGACTCGACCGCTCCGATTCGGCTTAGAAAGCTGTTCAGCCTCGCCATTCCAGTTCGGAGTTGTGCCAAGATACAGGCCTCTTTTCGTTTCAACTTGTCGTAGAGATCGCGAGTGTGTTTGCCAGGAAGTGCTACGTCCAGATCCTTTGAGAATTTGCCTACGCCTTCCGGGAGAGCTCTCCCCTGTCGTTGTTTGACCAATGCCAGCCTGATTGCGGTGGACTTGGCTTGGGGCATTTGGAGGTTGGGTATCTGTCCTTGCCTCGTTGTCCTTTGCGCTGCCGCCTTGGCCTCTAGGCCCAAAGTAAAGTTGGCTTCCGCTGGGATCCACAGGAAATCGACCGAGTTCCCTCTTTCTTGGTGCAGTTTAGCCAACTCGTAAATTTGCCGTATAGTGCCTTGGCCAGACTGTTATCGCGGTTGCCTAATTGCTGCTAGCGCTGACTGGTTCCTGGTGACGATGGTGATGTGCCTATGGCAGGCGTTGGCCGGAATCCTCTCCAAGGCCATTGCGATGGCTGCTAGT